TCTCTTATGTCAACTTTTCCTCTACATCCCACTAACCAAAAACGCACCGTTAAGATCTTGACTTTAGTCATGCTCTACTGCTGGTCGCAAAAAAACGAGTTGATAATTGAAAAGAAAAAAAAAAAAAAAAAAAAAAAACTCCACACTTAAAGTCAGTAGGAAATTCTTTGGGAAAAGATGGGTTGAAATTTCTATTAGTGTGACGTTGATGGTACAAAATATTTTTGATCAATACGTAACGGTTTATTTGTATCTTTAGTCTTAAAAAAATATTTTAAGTTCAAATTCAACCATATTTATCAATGAAGTAGTATTATTTTGGTCTTAATACGGTAATATAATGGTAATTTTATTAGATTAATATTGGTTTTAATTCATTCCTACGCCAACATTCACTCAAATAATTTCTAAAACAATTTAAGTGTATATTCGGAGTAAAATTTGTATACTTTAAGTTTAAATAAATTTCATTTCATAAATTAAATTTGAAGAATAACTTTCATAACGACCTGTCATAATTGCTATAATTGGTGGAATCACCGATTAGTAATGAAACTATTCACATGTTTAAGATTTTATACTTATTCTACATGGATATGCATACCATACATGTATGTGAGTATAAGTATAACTAAGAACAGCTTTATAAATATATGCAACATATATACAATCATTTGGTATAAAATCTTAAGTGTAGGTTAAACACTACTATATAGATCATCAAAAGCAGTCCAAGACAAGACTACACCACCAAAATGGTCTTGCAACATCTCCCAAAAGCTTGCTCTAGCTAACCCTACCCTACTCTCATGAAAATCATGATCATTACAATCCAAATCATAAAGAAAACATGAAAGGATAAGATAGATTTTAAAAACATACTAGTATAGGAATAAAACATGTATTTTACCCAACCACATGTAAACCATTTATAAACACCTCATGGTATACAACAATCACCAAATCAACCTATTTGAAAGCAATACACAAAGCAATTCCAACATTCATCACCATCATACCATACAACAAGATAATCATTGAGCACATATGAACAACAATCAACTTAACCCACATCACATGTACACACACCACTACTAATGTGTTATCACACATTCATCTACAAAGATCTCCTAATACACTTGAATAACCCATTAATTATCCAAAAGGAACTACACAACTTCTCCAATAATTAGTTAAGGGTGATAGCCCTCGACTTCATACCCTACCTTATATTGGTTAAGGACTTAGAGAAAACTAAACAAAATCTAATCCAAGATTTCCTATAGGAGAACTTCACATTCTAAACAACATTCTCTCTTCTAGTCTTAAGTTAACAAACATGTTTTAATACCCGCAATATTCTTAGCATCAACACCTCAACATACATCTTCTATACACATTACTCTAAGTCAATGCATATAAAGATCAAAACACACCAGCCATGTATAACATACCAATGCTTAACACCTCAACCAATAATAGCATACTAATGCTTAACAATTCATCAAAGTATAGCATATCAATGCTCAATAATTCATTCAATAATAACATATCAATGCTTATTCAACACTCTAACCATGCAATTTATAGCATACCAATCACACATAGCATATCAAAGCTCATTACCATTTCAACTACATAAATATAGCATACTAATGCTTATTATCATCATCCTACATCATACCACATGCAATAGATACAAGTATTCAATTTATGTTCACCAAATTCACCCATCCTACAACATGTATCAACATACAACTTATTAAAATCAATTATCATACTATGACAATCTTCACATAACTCAACAAAATTAGAGTTTCACTAATCCAATCAAACTCATTTTTATCTCATACGAAAGATAAAAAGGTTACCTACAACTCTTATGAAGACTTCAAGTTTTAACTCTATCATTTACTATACTGAAAATTACAAAAATCGTAATAGAGAATTTGTCGCTTAGCATCGAGAGCAATGCTCAGCACATAATTCTCTGAGTCTAATGCTTATTATCGAGAGCAATGCTCACCTAAATCTCTATGAGTCCAATGCTTAGCATTGAGAGCCATGCTCAACACCTAAATCGCTATGAGCCCAATGCTCAACTTCGAGACAAGAACAACCACTAAGTCATTCAACTCCATAACTTTAGATTCCCACATGGAACTTAGAAATCAACCACATGCAACATCAAATTTCATATATATGAAACATTCTCAACTCAGTTTCAACCAAAAATAAAACATGCAAACATCAAGGCATCTAAATTATTCCTTTATGCTCAACTTGCTTAAGAGAACATAAAACCCCAAATCCTTTTTGTGATCCATAATTCAGACACCAATAAATCCAACAATACAACATGAAATTAGGGATTTTGAAAGGTATCAATCAACATGCATAAACATATTCATCAAGGGTTGAGTTTTAACTTCCCTTATCTCGACTCTGAGCCATCAATGAATGGAGAAGATGAAGGAAAAGAAAGAAAACGACTTCAACCTTCGACCCACGCAAGCTTCGCTCTAACCCACTTCAATTCTAAGCTTCAAGCTTCAAAGCCTCAACCCTGCAAAAATTCCTCACACATTAAGGAACTCTAGATTGAAGAAGAGAAGATGAATGTGTTTTAGGGACTCAAAGTTCAACCACACTACTCAAAACTCACATAAGAAACTACTACTCAAGTGCACAATGTTGCAACTTTACATTTTCTTTCGCTCCAAATTGAGTTTCAAGACAAATTTAGGAAAAAAATTTAACATGTTTGATTTTATATCCATGGTTCATCACATGAAAATTGATGAAAAACAATTAAATGTTACTTTCACTTATTCACATCCAATTAAAATTAATGTAAATCTAAACATGCTGTTAATTTACAATCAAATTCCTCTCAAAAATAAATAAGAAACTTTTTTAGTTAATTTATTGAAGGACATATAGAAACTTCTAATTCATTTTATTATAATTATAAATTTCTTTAAAAACAAATTCCTATTTTTTATAAATATAATGTGGATACAAAGTATCTATTATTAAATCACACTTGTCTCTATTGAAAATAGTAGATACACACAAAGTAAATATATTTATTCCAAGGTGAAATTGCTACAAGAATCTCTCATTTAGTTAGCCCTACTGTGTTTAATAATTACACGGTGCGAAATAATTCTTAATACAAATTGAGAGGTTGGAATGGTGTAGCATTTCACTATTGATCCCACGTCGTAATAATAAATCCAACTTTCAATGGGATTTGTGTGGCCAATTTCCTGTTTAACAAAACTCCCATCCATATTTAAGTCATCCAACGTTCTCTTTTCCGTTTTCTTCCCAAACCCTCAATTATTAAATAATAAATAATGACAAGTGGATAAAATTCCCTTTCCTAAATAACAATAGCTTTTCTCTCAGCCTCAAATATTTTCTTAAACCCCTTTATCTCTCAACTGATCTTTTAAACCTTATTAATAAAAATAAATTTGAAAAATAATCTTAATACAGTCCACATAAACAAAATTGATAGATATTTCTATCAATACTATAATACTAGAAAAGTATAAACAAACTATTAAGATATCTCTTAATCAATTATTTTTCCCTCAAATATCATAATTACATAATTTAGCTTCTTATACTCTAACTCCCAAATTATTATTATTATGCAATTTTTTTTTCTTTCATTCAATATTCTACTAAATATTTTAACAATTCTTTTTTATGTAGAACTAAATGTTGACTTATTAATAATGTAGCAATTGTCTTGTTATATTTTTTTTCCTTTAATCTAATATTTCAATCACGAGGGATAAAAATACAATTAAAACACCTCAAAATATGTTAAACAATACAAATCATTAAGTCATTATTTAGTGTCACATTAATAAAAATTGTTAAATATTTAACATAACATTAAAAAAAATTACACGATTATAATACTTAAAAAGAACGAAAGCAACAAAAAAAAAAAAAAAAAAAAAAAACGA